AATACGACGTCTTCTCAACTTCATAAGCACTAGGCTAACAGGTTAAATAGAGTTTACGTCCATGCTGGAAGGCTACGAGAATGTCAGGGCTTACTGCTATAACTGTATGTTTACTCTAGTTTTGCTTACTAGGTGCTTGGTTAAGCTTGTACCTGACCCGACTAATCATGATGTTGGATTAGGCCAACACTACAATGGACATTGTATTACGCGATGGTATGTTACTTTTCCCTATCAACTTACTCGGCGCATTGAAAGAAAAAAAAAAAAAAAAAAAAGCGATGATGATGCTAATTATCTTAGGCCCTGGTTTACCGTCTGCTTCATTGTATGTTGCATTCCCGATCTGGTTGCAATGGCTCTCTTTCTATCAACTCGAACATCCAACTAACATGAACCGTAAACCACCAGCCAATGATTCCACTCGCAATGCATAAGTATAAGGTAAATATCTCATCGAACCAATTTCCAGCTCACACCAAATGAGTAATGGTTATTAACAAGCCTCCAGGAAGTCACATGCTACACATGCCGATTCACCCAAGACCTACGGTAAGCTGGCTCCCTTGATCAGGATTCCAAACGAAAAGGCCCTGTCCGATCAAATACACTAACAACAGATAAGTGATCGCCCCGATATCACCCCAGAGACCCGGCCTCCAGCAGGTGCACCGGCTGGCATAGCACCACCTCCACAGGCCTATTGGGGACCTCCTCCCCAGGCGTCCGGGGGAGGCGGATATCCCCAGCCTCAGGCCGGGGCACCACCGCAGAATTATCAGTATAAGTGATTCTGGGTGGGTGTGGCCTTCTTTTTTTTCATATTCTATTATGTTGAGGCTTTTGGAGAATGCCGACTTTGGTCTGGTTGAGAAGCGATGTTAATGATGTGTATATTCTGTTGTATGTACGATACCTTTGCTTCTTTTTTTCTATGTGCTTCTTTTAATTTAATTTATGGGGTATTGTTTCTCATGTGATATGTGCATTCATGCGGTAGGAATTATTAACAACATTAATAGCATAGCTGGCGTAAATCAAATGGGGTATATAATCAACACAAAACACGAAATCCCGATCACATCAGTAGGTATGGATGAACCTGCACCTGGGGATTACCCGATTTCAACCCGAACAGAATCTTGCGTACCAAACAACCAAACTAAACATCCGATTTAACACCCACTTTCTCCGTCGGCGTCGCAACACCAGACGGGGTCTGTTCCTGTCCCTCAAACCTCGGCTTTTTACCAACAGCATCAAGAGCCATAAGCCTAGCCGTACGAATAATGCTCTCCCTTCCCTCATACAGTGGGAAAATGACCACCCCAACAGTCGTGCAGAAAAGCCAGATGATGCCCACGACAACCCAACCGGTAAAGAACTTCTTGCTGAAAACGTATGAACTGCCGTACATGGGGATCGGCCATAAGAGTAGGAAGCACAGGACCATGCCGATGGTGAGGGTGCGCGAGTAGAGCGCGGCCCTGTTGAGCTTGCGCTCCTCTTCTTGCTCTTTGGCGGCGTTGATGGTGGCGGGACTGGTTTCGCCGGGGATTAGTTCAATATCGATATGTGCGGCTGCTGCGACGTCTGTATCATCAACTCTGCGGATGGCGCGCATGGATTCGTAGTCGTAGTTTTGAGGGCCGAAGACATAGGTGAGGACCGGGGAGAACACGATGGGGCTGAGGAGGGCGGCGACGTTTCCAGCGAGCATGGGGTAGCTGGGCTTTTTGTTAGCTGGGGAGACCTTATTGGGTAAGGTCGAGGGCAGGTTGCTTACTTTGCGCCGGTGGTAGCGACGGTCAATACACCGGATTCCTTTTTAGCAGTTACAAGCCATGCGATGAGGGACACGGCGAGGCCCAGAATAGGTGATCCAGCTGCGGCGACCCAGTTCTGTGCGTTCCAGACAAGGGTCATCGCTCCTGGGAACACCGCTGAGGAGATGATAACACCCATGAGCAAGTAAAGGTAGCCCATACCGATACCCGCGTAGTAGAGACCTGTTGCAAAACTGGCCATGGCAATAGCCCAGAAAATACAGGACATGTGAGACACCCACACTAATCTCTTACCCTTTGCAGAGGGGTTGATATACGCCTGGTAGATATCGTATGTCAGGATGGAAGAAACCGCAATTAGCTGAGCCGAAAAAGCTGATGTGACTGCCATGAAAATCATGAGTGTGGTGCAGACAGCTCCACTATATCCCAGCAGCTTCACAGCAGCAAACGGTAGGACAAGGCCGGCAGTTACATCCTCCGAGCTCATGCGCTGAGTGCCTTCAAGAGCAAGAGCAGATATTCCCATAGTACTGGCACAGAGCCAAGGAATGGCGAACCAGCAGAGGCCACCAATAACATATCCGGGGAAAGCATGCACGGGGTGCGCAGCAATAGCTATCGGAGTCAGTACTTAAGCACCATAGCACCATTCCATCTCGAGTTTAACACACCTTTGTTGTAGTAGCCATTGTCAAGGAAGACGGTCCTGAGACACAACTGTTAGCATATATTAACAAAGTTTTCGCAAGGTATCTACACACCCAAAGTTACCTAGATCATAATTAGCGTTAAGCCAAAGCAAAATGATGCGTGTAGTTACTTACCGACAAGGTTGATAACCCAGAAGATACCACCCTCCTTTGATCGCATGGTGAGATAACTGCCCTGAGCATTACCCTCCACAGGATGACGATCAGCCGCCGCAACCAGAGCATCATAAACTCTACCCGGAGATCCAAGAGTATCGTTAGTCGCGTAAGCGGAGAACGCATAGATGAATATAACGACGATGATAACCACAGTGTGCATATAGTCTGTAATAAAAGTTGCCTTGATGCCACCAAAGAGAGTATAGAGCACGACACCAATGGGGAGCAGGAAACAAGCCGCAACCGTGTTAACTCCAGTTAAGGATGTCAAAACAGCAGATCCACCAGTGAGCAACATTGCAGTGACGAGAATGTTGGTCATCAAGCAAAAAACAATGAAGACCACATGGACAGCAGTGCCATATCGAGCGCGAATGACTTCCAGAAACGTATGCGCATTCGGGGCTCGCCTTTTGAGTTCAATGGCAAGCGTGGCGAATAAAATAATCTGCACGCAGGCACCTAGGATCCACGCCGTTAGTGATGAAGCCCTACTATTTCTTCGATCACACTAACCTGATGCATAGAAGAATGGCCCCGAAATCCCGTACTGATAGGCCACTGCAGAGGATTGCAGAAGGGTGGCAGCCCAAGTCCAGCTACTTACGACAGCAGCAGCAACCAAACCTGACTTTACGGATCTTCCTGCTGTTGAAAACATCTCAGAGGTCTGAACTTCGTACTGATATCTGTAGTGAACGATCCGTTAGCCCAGGCCCTCAATGGATGGCATGCATTGGTAGAGAGAGGTCGCACTAACCTTTTGAGGGCCCAGGTAATGAAAACCATCACCAAAGCAAATGCAAACCCTAACCCGACGATGATGCCATAGCCAAACCCTTGAGACAAGGGAGCAACAAAGTTGGCTGTCTCCGACATGACTGCAGCCTTTGTCGGACGATACCTTCAGATGGTCGACCTGCGTGTACGTATACTTAATATTCGGTATAGAATTGCAGCTCAAGTATAACAGTATAGGCTAGTGTTTATGTGGCGATCCACAACCAATGATCTCCAACAGTCTGATACTTCCTGAAAGGAAATCCGTAGGGAAACGAAGGGTGACTTGATTCATATACTATCTCGAGTAGTACAGCCATGGACATAGGAGACCTCCGACCTCGCAGATCTCAGACTGATCAACATCCTTAGTCCCATTGAATCGGGATCCTGGACTGCTCAACCCAGTCATTGTCGTTCTGACTTTCCGGGACCTGATAAGGGCTTCATGTTCGTATTCTACCAACGTCACAGCGGACCAGCGCATGGACGAGCTGACACGGGGGTTTCTTATTTCCATCGCTTATTGACAATCCATAAGGCCCAAGATCCCTATCAGAGTCGATCTCAATCCCCCCGTTATCATTGGCTAGTCTTGTTTTCGTCGCCCATCCTTATCAGTGGAGGTTGGATCAACGCCATCGTCGATTGGTTCCGAGCTGGCAAACGGTTGATAAGGAACACGGGCCTTTCTGATATCAAGATAGTGGATGCTGACCCGGCTTTTAGGTAAATCGCCAACAATGAAAAAAAGAAGCTAGAAAACAAGCCCCCTGGGCATGATAACGCTTTCCCTTACTCCAGGTTTCGAGTAATGGATTATCTGCATTCCCCACGACCCCGATTGTCGCGGAAGCTGGGGACCGTTAGAGGATCTAATCTCGAATGGTCGAACGAGAGAAACTAGGAGTCACAACTTGCCGGAGTGGAGCCAACTTCTCTTCTCCATTCAATAGTGAATCTCACCGTTGTCGATGCAAGCCTAGGTCGGTACTAGTGGGAAGTCGGGCTGATCCAAGAAAATACAGAGAAAAGCGGACTCCTAACTACTAGTAGATTGAAAGTCCTCGCCGCGCTAGCCCGATCCCTCAGGCAGAGAATTTTGCCTGGACCAATGCCTAGGCTAATATATCAAATGTCCTACCCCGGTTCGCTTACAATGCAATCAACTTCTAAGGTTCATGTACCCATTGAAAAAGCAACTGATATTATACAAAGCTTTCCTTCCGAACTTTCGGCATGAAAATCCTTCCTTAAATGTCACAAGAGTTGGAGGTAGCCCCAACAGTAACATAACAACCAGCACATCTTCCCAACCTATGCTGCAGATAGGCTTTCAACACTCAACTTCGCGAAGTATCGGACGATCAGATCTAAGGATCCCCGCGCACCAAGGACAAAGGATAGGTAACGGACACCAAGGGGTATATTATTTCGAAAGGATAGAAGAGAGTATGGGAGTGAACCCGCCAAAAGCGACCCTCACAGAATGACCAAAATTGTTCCAGGAGCAGGGACCGGCTATGCATAGCAAAAAATACCTGCTCACTCAAAACCCCATTCAGTCAAACCAGATGTCGCTTGATGCAGGCAGGAGAGTGATGGCGAGAGTAGACGAAAAGTCGTTGATCACGAAGAGAACTTGCGAGTGATCTTGGCGATGACTAAACCCGGACATACATTAGTATCCCTCATAGGTCAAGTTGTCATACTCCAGGCGTTACGTACCATGCAGACCAACGACGGAAAAGATGAAGCCCAAGCTCAGAACCAAGACGACAACAGGGTCGACCCTCAAGCCAGGGCTCTCGTCAGTGTAGAGCTTGAGCATGGTACCGGAAGAGCCACCGGCACCGGCAGCGCGAGTCGAGCTGGGCCTGGCATTGCGCAGAGACTCTTTGTGGTCGGCAGCAGCGCGACGACGCAAAGCAGCTCGAGGACCACCGGGGGGAGTGGGAGAGGAGGTACGGGCCACGGAAGAAACAGAGCCAGCAGCTCCAGCGCCAGAGCCAGAAGCCTTGGAGTCTGGGCCAGACTCGGCACCAGAGGTCAGGGGGGAAGCAGCACGAGGAGAAGCCTTTAATTATATTTGTATTAGCATCACCATTGAGAACTGATATCCAACATAATGAGATGTAAGAAAGCCAATGCGATGTCGAGACACGATAGAAGTCCCATCTGCTGAAGGACGATCAGTTGGCATACGAAGGACACTCACCATTTTAAACAGTAGTCAAATGAAGATAATCAAAGAAAGTCGTAAAGAATTGAGCGGGATTAAATGTATGAACGAAGAAAAGAAAAATGGGCTGGTTGGAGAAGGAGGGAAGTCTGCTTAGAAGTGGAAGGGGAATTAAGTTGTAGCTGGCAGAGAGAGTTGAGGTCGCAAGTCACTCAAAAGAGGCCACGCTCACGATTTCCCATTGGCTGTACTGTCACGTATCGTCACGCCGACCTACCCCAGTTTCCTCCACCAACCACAGGCCGCCTGTGCATCCCCTACCCACTCAAAATGACAGACATATTGAACTTCACCGGTTGTTGTAAGCGCACTTGGTGTATACCGTGGAAGATACTTGCATTTTTGTTGGGGAATTCCAAGTATAGCAACATCCCTACTTGCTTCAGTTAGATTACGAGCCAAGTAATCCATATTCTTCCTATGTATTTTATTCCAATTATATGATAGATACAGTACATAACATATGAGATGCACAGTCGTGAAAAATAAATTGACATAAGCAAGGATATCAAAGTGCAGGTGTCGGAATCATCGATTGAACGCTGTCAGCGCCCATTTAATAAGGCTGTATGTGGAAAGGCGAGGAAGAGAAATGAAGTAAAAGGGAAACCCTGACAGCAAACGGAGAAGATAATGGAAATCGTGAGCTAAATCGATCAATGCAGTAAAAGGTATCATATCGCAAATCCCGGAAACACCTTCAAAATACAGTATCCAAGTCGACATATAAGAGCGAATGGTACGCGGTTCGCAAAAGTATAACGTGGATATTTGTGTCCCGATAAAGCGCTTGGTTGTTTTATATGGACAATTGAACCGAAAGGTTGTTCTCTTGAAATCATGAAATTGTACCGACCATGGTCGGGCTCAATCGATCATCATCCGATTGGGCACTTGGCCAGTAATGTTTGAAGACAGCTCTGTGGTCTTCTCCGCTTCTTTGCGGGCCTTTTTCCTATTCACGTGCGGTTTCAAGCCCTTGTGGAAATTGTGCATACACATGCAAGCGTTGATAATAGTCATAACAATGAGAACGAGGGTGATGACGGCGAAGAATGTCAACGACCGTTGCGCTTGGAGGTATTCCTGGTACGTGTTCTTGTCGTAAATGCGGTACAGCTTAAACAAGAAATACGCCAAAGCAGCAAAGTAGAGGAGCTATGATAATGGTTAGAGGACTTCTCGAGAGTGGGTAACGGATCAACACATACAATGATTACGATCATTCCAATGGAACTTTCGCGCCGAACGAATAGAGCAGCAGCTAACAATATCAAGATTGTGACCGGGATAGCCGCCAGAGTGAGCGCAAACTCGGCGTCGTGCCGGTTAGTGACAATGACCACAAACTGAACAGTAAAACCAAGGAAAAAGAAGAAGTCGAATTTGAGGAGCGCAATGTAAATCTGCCCGTTCAATCAGCTGGAATCCCTTATCCACCAAGTGGTTCACAACAAACCTGATATGTGAGGTATCGGCGCTTCATTCGCAGATCAGCACTGATGTGCTTGTAGATGGACCACGCAAATTCATCGTATAATTTCCAAGCAACGATCATCATAAGTAGCGTGCCCATGGCCACAACACATGGGATAATGATCAGGAAAGGTTTAATCTGTCCCCACACAGCCGGGTCAATGGCTGAATTGTCATTCAAGACTCCGATCGCATCTTTAATTTGCTCCACTTGCACGGCACCATAAATCAGTAGACCAACGTTGCATACACACAGCCCAATGACTTGAATGGTATTTTTAAGGCGCAGTGCATCGTAGACCAGCACCAACTCATAGATGAAACCGAAACTGTACAGTGCTAAAAAGGTCGGGATTGTTTTGGATGCCGTCACATTGACAGCTATTTCTTTGAGTTTGAGCTGGAAGTCTGCGAATACATAACTACAAAGCACCCCGTCAGCATCAGCGATATATCATTCTAGGAACCGTGGTGCGAGTACATACCATTCTAGAGCGAGTGTGACGACTGCTTGGAAAAGGGTCACAATACAGAAGGACCACGTCCACATTGAATTTGGTTTATACATCTTGCGTTTCTTAGGGTGCGGAGGCACATTGGCATACCCTTCTCGCCCTCGAAAACCACCGCCTCGTCGAAATGCCGGGTCAAATGAACCCCCAAGGAGGGAGGCGCGTGAATTGTTGGTCTGAATTTTGGCAATAGGCTCCGTTACGGAGCTCGTGTCCGCCGGAGTCTCGCTGCTGGGATACAATATGACGGTTCTGACCACCGGTTGGCGGCGAAAACGCAGGGATTAAGTCTAGAAACTGAAAACCAAGGGCGGGGAAGGAGGGACGGAGAGTTTTAATTTAGAGACGACCCTATGGGAGGATTTCAGTTTAGGAGGTCTGATCTCGAACCTGGCGGCTTCGACGATGACGGGTCCTGAGGCACAAGCCTCCACAGCCTCTTTCAGCCTAACGATGAATGGTCGGGGGGGGAAGATGGCCCGAGGAGGAGAGGAGAGAACGAGGACGGGGAGGCGCGACTTGGGAATCTCTTCGAGAGAAGAAGGCCTGTTGGCTGCCAAGCCACGGGTAAAGGGTCGTGTGTTGGGCGGAGAGGCACACTCCGATTGATCGTTCAGGACTGGTGTAAGGCTGAGCACATGCAGAATCACGCGAGGACCCTTCTCAGCGAGTGGCTGGAAATGGGTCAACTAAAAGCGACTGATAGGTTGACCGAACCCCCAAGAATCAAGAGAGAGGGGGGGAAGGAGAATTCGAAAACGAAAGTGGGTGGTGGTCGAACGAGGGACGATAGGAATGGGTGGTTTGAATATAGGGGAATGCCGATTAGATGCGGGTGAGAAGGAATAATAATACCAGTAATCACGAGGAATGAGGAGTAAAAGGTTAGGTAAGGTCGGTTCCTCAAGCTGCGGGAGCAGAAGTTAAGGTGTTCGTTTCCTTTTTTATGATTTTTATTATTCTTCGCCGGCAATTACGCAGTCATTTGACTGACAGGACCACCGATCATTTGGAGTCTGGAGAAGGGGCCTTTTTTTTTTTCTGTTCGGTTTGGTTGAGAATTTGTGGTATCCCAGGGTTTGGGGCGGAGAAAAAAAAAAAAAAAAAAAGAAATTCAACAGTAGAAACAATCCAGACACGCGGAAGAATTGTAGAGTATGTATGTATTGTATACAAATACAGATACTCTCCTTCTCCTATGGGAAAGAAAAAAAAAAAGAAATGAAAAAAAGAAATGAAACCTCAATCATGGAGTTAATAACCTCACTTAGCTTGACAGTTAACGGTAAAATCTACCCATTTCCCCGTCAATATGTTTCTTTTTGTGTTTGTTATTAATAGTTCTTTTATTTTTGTTTTCATTTTATTGCACCAAGGAACTGGGTCTCCCACTCTCCGTTGACTATTGTTACCATTTTTACTTCCCGTCCCAAAGTATAGGCCACCCAGCCAAGAAAGGCTCTGCTCATTGTTTTGAAAGTTTTCCCTCATAAATTACGGAGTGTTCCGTATGGAGTAACGTATCCAAACAATCACATCCGAGGCCTACCGGGTGCCTGAGGCCCTGGGGGCCACTAACTTCGATTCTCCTGAACCGGCGTATACTCCAAGTGGGTCAAGGACCCATCTTAACCTGTGAGACGGGAGACCAGGTAAATGGTGATGGGGCCAGAATCCTCGGGGATTGTGTCTGGACTCTGGCAAATTAATTCGCTTGGGTCCTCCGTACCTGGTCTCGTTTACCCATGGTTTACCCCCCTGATGGGGACACAACCTGACTGGTAAAGCCCCTCAATCCGACCGGAATGATAGATCAGACATGACTAGCGGCCAGATAGTCATGAGAAATGTACTCCGGAGTGGGAAGGAGAGATTCAATACCATTATTGTGTGTGGATCGGTGTCGCTTAAAGACTATATATCCTCCGTGTTAGCATCGATAGGGCAACTATTAAGGTTATTTAATGTCTACAGTTCGATTAGTTGTTAGTAGTTACGCGTTCCATGGGTCTTCACCCTAGGCAGACAGATAGACAAGAGCTGGGCACAGTAGGCAGTCACTGCAACATTCCACAACCCCCCTTCTTATCCAGATAATTACTGTGGTTAATCATTGGCTTTGTTCTGTGCATATGTCCCTATTTGTGAAAGACCGGCGATGTTCCTTTTTGATGCTCCCTTTCGCTTCCGTACTATATATAGTGGCCCGGCATGCAGAACAGAAGTGGGAAATAAAGCAACCATCCTGCATCTTGATTAATATGGTATGCATATTCCCCTTTGTCCTGAGAGCTTAAATCATGTAATAAAGATACAGTCACTTCCACCTACCTTCAAATTAGTAGTATAATTATCACCCACCAATTAAAGTCTCCAGTTACACATACCCGTCTCTGCCACCATGTCAACGATCTGAACATCCTCATAAAACTCGCATTTCAAAACCTGGGCCAGCTGAAAGATCCTTGTTCACCGGCAGCTGTGGCTGTCTCATCTGCACTTGGCTAAGCCACCGCTAATATGTCACTGAAACCAGGCCAATAAAGATGTGGCGTCCTCCAATAACCCAACCACAACCACAACCACAAGAACAACAACAATGATTCCTCAGGCTAGCATGTCAACGAGCACTCATTTTCAACACTGCACATCAGGAGGTTTTTTTCTTTTTTCTTTTTTTTGTTTTTTTTCCAACAATCTTTCATCAGACGAGGGAGGAGATTATCAACAGAATCTGGACTTCTCCGGTCTGTGGACGTGGCAGATCAACATCTTGCACTCCAACTAATGTGGTACACGACATATTAAGTAGGTTAAAATTGGCGGAAACCACTCCCTTATGAACGGCTGGGTTTCGAGAAATTGAGATGCACGCTGTGACCTAAGTGGCCTTGCGTCAATCTCGAACAATCGCTGGCATCCTGTGAACAGCGCCTCGATATGATAGCCGTCAAATGAATAGCGTACAGCTAGTGCAATTAAGATAAAAGCAGTTGGCCAAAGGTGGGAGGAAACGGACACAGTGAATTACATGGCGAAAAGAGACGGCTTCACTGTCACACATGTACCCCTAACCTCAACAGTTGTGGGTTGGTGACGCTACAGAGAGCGTCACGGAATCCAACTCAAGCAATGGCGCGCTATATTATAGTGCTTTCTTGGATGGAGCGAGCTCTACGCTCCAAGAGAATCCGCTTGACTTGGGAGCGTAAAAAGCGTCCTTTGCTTGCTTGAAATTTACCATATATTCTTTCCTATGTCACAGCTATAGCTTCCTTTACTTGTCTCTAGGAACTATTTCTGGGTATGGTTTGGAAATACCGCAGACGACATCGGCCGAGGCCAGTGCCAATGGCCATGGGAGTCTACAGGCATCATGCAAAGTATTTTCCCAGGCAGAATCACCGTAAATCAAGCTTTCCATAGTGTTGGAATAGTGTCCTTTTTTCCGAGGGGTTGAACGCTTGGGCCTTTTGTGTTGGAAATCGACCCAGACCGAATAATGCAAACTGACCGCCAACTTTACCATTGCGTGAACCTGAAACACACAATGCTACTTTCGCTTGACTCTTCTCCCAGACTACGTGAAAGATAAAATGAGCGCCTAGCATCATACTTCGGTGCTCGCTAACAACCATATTCTAGGAGTCATCCAAATTGGTATCACTCCAGGCAAGTAGTACGGAATATGACACCGTGCCCGGTCCCACCAGGCCAGTCCGTTGTTCTCCACCAAAGAAAACGTGCTACTGTACATATCCGCGAAGGGATTCGGTTGACCACAGTCAGTGGCTATACAGTATGATGATCAACGATCAAGAGATAACAGTACATGGGGCTTAGAGACGATACCACCAATGATTTTCAACGCCATATGCTCAGCCGCAATCCTCTCGCTCATCTCGTTAGGTTTTGGTTGGGCGTTACTCCGTCAGGAAGGCGACCATTTACTAAGACAAATACGACCGAACCCAACAATCCACTCCACATGGAACGTTTCAAGAAGAAAGTGATTCCACGGAACTAAACCGCAACCGTGCATTATCGCCATGCCAACAGGGTAAGCCGCTAGATCCTGGGCTGACAGCTCTTGCACCAATGAGATCAATGGTTGTGGCTGTGTGAAATCCGCAGTTCAGGCGAGCCACACCCCGGACTCCTTGGTCGTGGCTCAAACCAAGCCAATTAATCAACATGACACCTTGACGTGCCCTTTGCAGTTATCCTTACTCCTCATTTCACGTCGTGCAGAATGAGAAACTCGACGGACTTTTGTCGCTCGTCGAACCTCAGAAAAGGCCAACGGTTACTATTTACAGGATTTTTTGCCGATCCCTCGCGTCGTGCGTGCGTTCGGACAGCGAAGCCGATGCTTCCGATTACTCTATCGACGGAGAACACCGTCTCCATTGATCGCTCGAGAGGATGATCAGCACCGAGAATAAAATACCGCGTATTACTAGTCTCTCTATTTCCCTGCCCTACGCGCGGCATTCTAAGACATGCTATGGTACATGCTCTAAGTTCTGACATCCACTCCATGTCGACATGAGACTCAATGAGCCTTAATCACAAATTCACCAGGCACTGGATCTCTCAATGCATGCTGGATACCCTGGGCCATAACCTCATCCCACTTCTTCGATGCAGACAGCTTATTTCCATAACGTCTAAACCCATGTGGCAGCCCTTTGAAGACATTAACATCGGTAGGCACCCTGCAAAACACGACCCGTTAGCTATCAATCATTTCACACGCGAAACAATCCGGCTCGGGCTCCTCACCCATTCTCGGCCAGCAACATCGCGAACAACAACCCTTCATCTCTCAAGGGATCCCTCCCTGCGATGCCGAACGTCGTAGGCGGCAGACCCTTGACCTCATCCGCCGTCGCAAGCCCCGGATTAATCCGTCTATCAGATTCCAGGTCCGACCCACTAGCAGCCGGCTTGAGCAACTTCCCAAACAAACGCATCCTACTAACGGGGAGAATCGGCGCATGCTCGCACTCCACATAACTCGAGATAGCGGGATCACGAAGCCGCGCAACCAGCGACGCATAACAGTCCTCCGTAACAAGAGGCGGGATCATGAGCACTTGGCCACGGACCTTAGGCCTCTGCGCCAACGATACATCCTCCCCGATGTTCTGCGCCAGCGTCAGAGACACCGCCAGATAGGCCCCCGCTGAAATACCTCCGACGACCACGTTCTCCGCCTCGCCATTGATATCATCGATATGGTCATGAACCCAGTGAAAGGAATCCTCCGCATCATTCCATGCGGTCGGATACGTGTACTCCGGGGTATGACGGTAATTCACATTAACAACCACCACGGGGGATTCAGCCGCCACCTGAGCAACGACAACGCGCGAGCAAATCGCATCCTCCGAACTCAGAGTGCCCATCATAAACCCACCCCCATGGTAAAAGATAAAGACCGGTAACCGCTGCGTAGCAGGCACCGAAGCCGGCCGGTAAGTGCGAGCTTCCAGCGTCTCTCCATCCCGCGTCGGGATCTTGTAATCTTGCATCGATACCTGCGATACCAGACCTGGGTTCACTCTTGTAAGCTTTAAACCTTCTTCAAACCCCCCTCCCCCCACAAAAACCATAACCACCACTATCACGTAGAAATACAAACGAAAAACACAACAAACATACCTTCCTCAACCATAGCCTTCGCCGACAAGGCCTCCCGATCGCGATTCGCCGCAGCCTTCAACTGTTCTATGCTCAAGTCCTTCGGGATATCCGGGAGTGATTTCTCCAAGACAAGCCATTCTTCAATAGGCGTAGTATATTCTGAGAAATCGGCCATTTTGTCGACGTTTAAAAAAAAAAAAAAAAAAAAGTTATGTATTGTACAAATGGAGTTGTGTGAATGAATTTTACATGAACTGAGCGAAATATATTGGTCGATATTTGGTGTACCTAAAGATAACTTGGAGTAGTCACTAATCGATAAATACCCCACCTTTCACCTCGGTATTTCAGATTATATCAGTTTATAAATCCCCATTTCTTTGCACAACCTTACGCGTACACCCGAGGTATAGATACTAATCAATACCTAAACACACCACACTTCTACTAGTAACTCGGAAGTTAGATGCTTACATCCAATCAGGATGGTTATTCAGGGTAAGGGGGGTTTTAATTATGTTCTTTGGTTACTGATTGGTTGGTTCGTCTATTTCTAATTTGGGTAGTAGGTATAGATTAGGTATGAATCCATGGATGGGCCTAAGGCTGAGGTCAGATGGTAATGCATGGAAGTATTCACCTCGGAGTAGGTAGTAAGGAAATTCCATGTTCTCAATACCGTCAGAATCTTTATTTCTCTACCGAGGGGCGCTACACAATAATAATCCTAATGCTAAACCCCCGTTATGACTACTCCTACAAGGTAAGCAATCCCCCAAGATCTAACTAAAAGGCACCCTTCCCCGGCGTCGTATCACCATCCAAATCCCTACAACCCCATTCAAACGACGAAGGAACAAAGAACCTTGCCCCGGTCGAATTCCCATAAGCAAGACCCACGAGCGTTTCTTCTATAGATAACGATCAGCCCCCTCCCCCCCCATCCCCAGATTCCAGGAAACCAAAGAGAGAAGAGAAGAGGAAGGGAAGTAAACCAAACTCACCATTCTCATCATATCTCGGCCACCCAAACCGACTCAATCCAGCCACAGGATCCCTCGCAAAAGCAGCCCATGCTGATGCCATATACCTTGCGAACTCGCGTTCCGTCTCTGAATCAGCTATCCCACTGATCTTGCTAGCAGTGCCGAAGACCATAGGGAGATCGATGCCATGATACGCGCCGCTGGATGGGTACAAGCGGAGATTATCCCAGTCGCCGAAGTAGCGCGATTGCCAGGTTGGCACGCCGACTGCGGCGCGGTGTGCTGCTGTTTGCCCCGAGGGGCAGGTGAAGGCGGCTTGGTTGAATAGGTTCCAGACGGGGTCTGGGTGGGAGATGTTGGCGGCGTAGGCGCTGACGCGGTAGTAGCCTGCTTCGTTGGCGTTGCTGGTTACCAGGTATGGCTGTTTGGGGGAGGGTTAGTTATGAGTTGCTTCTTTTGGGGGATTTTTTTCTGGGACTGACTATGCGGGTGAAGTTCCCGGAGGCTGATCTTTCGGCGTAGTTGTTGAATATGGTTATGTTGTCTACTGTTGGGTGGAAGACGGGTTGGGGGAGGACGGGAGAGGGCGCGGTTGGGACTTTAGCGACGGCTTTCAGGATTGATTGGTAGGGTTGTTGGCGGAGGCAGTGGATGATGTGATTTGTGTTGGTGGTGCTGTTTCCGCAGCCTAGGGTTTGGGATACGTGGTAGAAGTAGCTGGCTGATTCCTCGGGCGTGTTGGGCTTGAAGCTTAGTGCTGTTCCTGAGTGAGAGATGAGGCCGCTAACGAGAGGTTTCTCGGTCCAGATGTAGGAATAGTAGTCGACTGATGCGCCGCCGGCTGATTGTCCGAAGATTGTGATGCGATTGGGGTCTCCGCCGAATGCTTGGATGTTGCGATGCACCCATTCCACTGCGAGACGTTGGTCGAGTAATGCTACGTTCTGGGGTGACCCGGGTGCGCCAGAGAAACCGAAGATATTTAATCGGTAACTTTTTCGATTGTTAGCCCAGGGATCGAGATATTAGGTATCCATCAACGAAAACTGACTTGAAAGTTACGACGACTACCTCTTGCTCGTCGGCCAATATTTGACCATCATAGTATGGACTGTGTGCACCACCTAAGGAGAACCCTAGAGAATTTCAGTCATATGGAAAATGCAAAGGAAGAGAAGGATTATCCACTTACGACCACCATGAATAAAGACGAGCACGGGCTTTAAAGCAGAAGTTGTGGGCTTAGTCCACACGTTCAGATACAGGCAATCTTCACTCTGAGGCGTGCCTAACTGCTGGGCAAATGTTTGGATAATTCCTTGGGCTTGAGGAGTGAAACCGGGGTAATCATCCGGGGTTGTGCCGGTGTTGGCAGGACAGTCTCTGTGGTACGGATATGTTATTGCTCAAGTAAAGTCGATTGAAGGGGCTGAATTCTACATACGGGCTCTATGGTGTCGTTAGCTGAATGGCTCCTTCAATACCACTAGAGCATCACATACGTAGGTACTCGCGCGCACAGTAGAATTGGAATGGTATGCGACTGGACGTGCGAATCGCAGATCTCCCGTTGGCGGCGTAGCGTAGGGAATTCCCAAGTATTCGGAGACATTGGATCTCTCAGGCGCTGCATGGCCCTCGATGAGTCCGCTACTGGTCCAGACAGAAGCACCAACGGGCTGGAGTTTGGAAACTTGCTGGGAGCACGCTGGCAAAGCTGCTGCTGCCAGCAGAGATATTGATGCAACTGACTTCCAAAATCGCGCCATGATTGACTGTTTGGGATGGCAATGGTTTGCTGAAAGCCTTTCAACCCATGTAAGAAAGGAAGAGGAGTTTAAGATAAACAGAGAGCCAACTCGTGGAGTAAATTGCTGTGGAGTCCCTCACATTTTGATACTACCTGATTCTTTCCTCAATGGGATTAGTGTTGGAGGCTGGGCTGGTTTAGTTTCGAATAAATAGGGCAGATGCTTCGACAGTGAAGCTGCTGAGAGTGTTGTACTTCGTTGAGCATTTGAATATGTACAAGTTCAAAATATCCTTTGACAGGTCCTCTCATGGAATTACCCCACAAGAACAATCAACGTTCAAGGTAGATGAGAGATCCTATAGTTCCACTGATTTTGACAATGGCCGATGATTTGATTGCCCCTGGGACTAAGACCAACATGACATGAGAGCTCAGTCGTCGCTTATAGGCCAGTTCCAAATTCCATCCACTTGTCGGAGTCCGGAATTAACGAAATAATGATAAGGTTAAGTATTGTAGACACTATAACCAAGAAGTAGAGCCATTAAGACACCCTGAAATAATGAATCATCTCATCATCCTACAAGCCCAATCTCCGATCAGAAAACCAGCATCATCCAACAGTCAAAAGCTGCTCCATGAAAGCACCATGCCCACGAACCCGATCATGAAGATGAATCTCCAAAATCCAATGATGCGTCTTCCCATCCTTACCAGGAGTAGTCATCGGCCGATTATTCCCACGGGCAATATAAAGAGTAACCCTATCCTTCGGGATGCGTTCATGCGGGAAAGACCCAACAATATGCCCAGCGATATCAGCACCAAATTCCCACCCAGCTTGCTTCGCCTCATCACACGCAATCTCATATAGTTCTTCGCCCGTCATATCGGTGTTCTCAAAATAGCGTGATTTGACCTTGTTCCACACGGGCTCGAGCGAATCGCGCAGCTGTATCTTATGCGGGTCGTCCCCGAGGACAAAGGTGCGCCCGAAGTCCGCTTCCCAAGCTTCGAAGACGGGTCCTAGATCGACATACAGGATGTCATCGGACTGGATGATGCGATCCGGAGGGTTCTCGGCAAAAGGTCTCAACGTGTTGGGACCGCTCCGAACGACCCGTTTGTGCCAGTGGGTACGCACTCCATGTCGTTGGGCGAGCTCGTAGATCTCGTCGCTTAGTTGCTTTTCACCCACGCCGGAGCGCAGAAGGTCACGCTCGATCTCATCAAAGAGTTGGATAGCCTTGTTTTGGGCGTCTAGCAGGTATGCTGCCCGCTCATCTACTTCTAGACTCGTAGGGTTTCCAGACATTATGTTCTCAGGCTGGAGGAATTGCTGCGATGGGCCTTGGGAGAATGACTGCTCGGAGTTTTTGGGATGGCGTAGTATTTATACACCGGCAATGAGTCACGATATAGCTCACGAAAATAACTTAATCGTAATCCTGTCACTATATATCTGGTGCGGGGCGCTGATGCGGGGTCTCTTTTCGGGTAAGAAAGAAGTAATCGGTTGTCGGTGATTTCTCTTTTGGTGCATTCACGACGGTATACTCTTGTCGATATCAAGCTTTCCTGCCTGCATTGGTGACTGTTGTATATTAACAGGGTATATTCCGGACTAACCCTGCTCATTTTCATTATAGTTATTCAAGCCAAGGACACAAGGCCAATGGACGTTCTTCTATTTTCCCACGGAATCAGCGTGACATTTCGCTGATTGAAAACTCCGCGGGGTAACTTGATGGAGTTGTTACTATCTCCGCTTTATCCGCTTATATATAGCATACTTCCATGCGGAGTAGTTAACATGATGATAAACTACAATACTATATTTTCTATTAGAAACTTTTTCTATTCAAGAAGGATCGGTAGTTGTGTTGGTTCTTTTGTTTTATCTATGACTACGAATGCTATGTGCACCAACTATTTTTGCTCGCGACGGTGGATGTCAGAGCCTGGTCTTAGCCTTTAACCATTAGGCATGATTAATTGATGGGAATCTAGTAGATGAATTTAGTTCTGCAAGACTACTTGGATCCTCACATTAAGAAGGGCTGCATAATTATGAGCACACCAAGGACCACAAACTACTACTACTACTACTACTACTACTACTAGTAGTAGTAGTAGTAGTAGTAGTCATGCTCTGATCGTCACCATAGAGAATATGAACAACAAGACCAACACCAGCATAATATGGAAAAAAAAAAAAAATCAATCTTATTTAATTACTTATCAAGAGCATAAATCTCCAAAAGCCCAAGGTCGACCTATCTGAGTAGTATCATGCATACAGATGTCGATGCAAACAAACCCCACTAAACCAAACCCAGCAAGCGGTAACCACCCGCTCCACCCCATATAAAAACCCACAAAAACAAACCCTCGATCTCAATTTTCTCTTTCCTCCCAAGCACCATCCCAACCAATGCTGCGTTTCTTTGCTACACACGATCAAGGTCAAACTTGATCTCTCGACCGTTGACCCCCAACGGCCCGAGAACACCCGCAAATGAGAAATTCGGAGGAATCTTCACTCAAACCCCAGTAACCCGCTGTTCATCTCTTCCGAGAGATGGGGAGCCGGTACTGCCCGCAAGGGCCTGGTGTGAAATGACAGCCCACTAGACTGCGTTCGGAGGGATGTCGCACATCTGCAATCGGCATCAGAAACATCGGGGCTCGGACATTGTTCGAGGTTTCCCCATGGGAGAGTCGTTGCGAAGATTGTGTGCGCGGGCTTATGCTCCGTGCGACACTTTAGTGCAATACGCAGCATACTGTACCCCTCTTTCTCCCTTGGGGGAAGGAGGGGATGGTAGAATTCGATTCCGATCATTCTGGTTGGGATGGTGCTTCTTCTTTTTTCTTCTAGGTGAGTGGTTACTGTCAGACTGGGAAGAGTGGTGTGTGTCCCTGGCTAATTTGTTGGGGGCGGGTCCTGTTTGGTCCTATTGCCTTTCGTTTTAATAGATATCGGTGGTTGGATGGTATACCAGGATTGGGAGGCGTACTCCGTATAATGTTTGTTAATGATATTAATTGACTCTTGATAATTTTTTCTTGAGATTTGCCCTGTGTAGTGCAGATACTGATTCTCGTATGATATTTTAAGCCCTGCGTAGTCTACTTTGTATTTTCGTAACGTCCCAAGTTCATCATGAGAAAGTACTTTTATTTAAGTCACCAGTACACAATGGAAGTGTGGAAAAAAAAAAAAAAAACAATCGCTTCATATCTAACTGGGATATTATGATAACAAAATCCTTTGTTCCGTCAACGTGGGATATTTCCGAATGTAAAATGAAACCCGCAAAGAAACCATTTACTGCCCTTCGTCGTAAGTTGTATGTTCTGTGTTTGTTTTCTTGATTAATTTACTCCTCGTCACCAATCTGAGTCACGTTAGCATACGCCTCTTTTCCAAAACAGGGCAAGGAGAGAAAGTTTACCTTAGGAGCGAGGTAGAATCTCAGGTGACCACTTCCCAGACCGTACTCAACAAGCAGGGGAACCTCCTGGGACAGGCAGAGGGTCACCGTGCTGGAGAGAGTTGTAGCCTTGCAGAAGTTGACGAGGTACTTGAGGGAGAAAGTAAGGGCAACGGGTTCGGAAAGAGCAATGGAAACGTTCTGGTCGGGCTTATCGACGTTGGTGTGTTGACGGATGGTGACGGATCCACTGCCAATGTCACCCTGGCAGGAGAACTTCACACCTTCCTTGGTAGCCTCAATGACAACTGGATTACTAGTCAGTAACTGAACGGGTCTGGCTGTCCCAAGACTGGACGTATTGGGCGAAGGAAATGAATTAGGTTCACGAACCAGACTCGGAAAGCGCGTTCAGGTCTCTGCAGATCCGCTGGAACTCTGCAGAAGGCATCTCGACAGTAGCGGCATACTCGGTCTCCGGGATTGCCAGGTGCTCCTGGTCAATGTCCATCAACTTAAGATCATATTCGCTTAGTCTGTCGGTCTCGGCGCTCTCGAACATGAGGTTAACGGCGTCCGGGGAGTCGTCGGCCTTGAGAGTAAGAATGTCTTCATTCTGAGCAGCCCGCAGGACCTTGGTCAAGGAGACCAAGTTGATACCAAGAGCAATGTTGCGGTCGCAGCGGTATGGGGAGAAGCCTTCGGCCTTGAGAAGCATGGAAACCAGGGCTACATGGGAGTTATCCATGGCCTGGAGGGCGATACCAGAGTCATTGCAGTCGAAGTTGCAGTCCTGCACCAAATCCTTGATAGCGTCGACAACCTAAGCGATCGAGTGCTAGGTCAGTGACAGTATGGGGCTGATCTGGAGACTCTAGTCACATACGCGCTTGAGGAGAGAGGCTTGTTCTAGGCGAGCTTCCAACACTGGGGTAACAGTTAGACAGCAATTCTAGGAAAATGACAAGCATGTGTAAAACTCACTCTTGATCTGTGTGTGGTATGAATGTGATGGTGAGAGGTGAAAGAATTAGGTGAGGAATTTAATTTCAGGCAAATTCTAGAATTGAACCGGTAGGTATCAGTTGGTTTGTTCAATGAAAGATTCAAAACCCTTGTGTGACTTACAGGTAGAAGGTGGATTGGGAGAAGTTAAGAACTCAAGTAGAGGAGAAATTGCCATTCACAAGGTGAGGTCGCGTAGTGGGGAAACGCGTTCACGGGTCGCGCGTCATGCCTTAGGCTGATATGAACGTTTCGGGTTAGCCTTTGCTGCTGGCTTTGATGTAAGGGTGCATAACTACTACTTCCAATTATTCAGACGGAGTACCCACAGGATGTCTCTTTTTTAAAAAAGATCGTTTATTACCCATTGCGATTAGCTGTTTAGAAATGTCTTTTATTCGGATGATTATATACTATATACAGAACTTCCCAAGTTTTACATAGGAAATTACCTGGCAGTGGGCCAGTGCTAGCGAGTAACAATACAGAATGAAACATGCCAAAAGAGCGCGTCAAGCTGAAACCCAAGGGGTGAAAAAAAAAAAAAAAAAAAAAGACGCAGACGGACAAGAAAAAGAACGAAAAGCATGTACAGTAACAACGAAAGAGTACACAATCGAAGCATAAGGTACAACCAAAAGCAAGATATAAAGTCCAGCCCAAAAAAACGCCATTGACACCGGTCCACTCTATTTACATTGGGTATCAACTGCATGGTTTGCTGTCAGACTGTCACAGTTCACTCCAAATAACAGGATTCAGGAGTATGTAGGGGCACAAGGAGATATTATAGGAGACGCGAAGAAGGAAGGGAGAGGGAGGGGATAGCGGGGTATGTGGGAGATCAGATGCTAGTAATCCGCTTCGAAGCTGCTGGTGGTCGTTGCTTGATAACCATCTCAAGCTCCTTCAGCATGTTGGTGTTCGCATCAAGGCGCTCGCGTGCCGCTGCTTGTTTTGCTCGGTCTTCTTTGACCCGAGCGATTCGCTCCTCTCTCGTCAAGGATTGTCTCTTGCTACGGGCTGGGAGAGCCACGGCTTCAAAAATTTCCTCCTCGTCATCGATGGTATGAATGATGCTGGAATCCGGCCTTTCGCCATTCAAGGCTTTAAGCGCATCGGCTGGACTACCTTCCACCGCTGTGGAACCGCCTAGGCTAGGAGTGGGGGATGACGGCAGCTTCCACTCACTCAACGGCCTCGAAAGTCGATCCACGTTCAATCGATTGTCTGGCGTGGTACTGGCCATGGCGGCTTTACCATCCTCCCATTCTTGGAGAAGGTTTTTAATGTCCGTTCCGATTGATTCGTAGTGAGAAGCAAGAGTCACTTCATTCTCGTCATTCTCATCAGCATCCGTTTGTTCCAAACTGGCACTAGACATTTCTCTGATGAGATGCATTTTTGCGTGAAGCGCGCGGATTGCCTGTGAAAGAGAGTTAAGCTTCCGATATTGCGCACGGAGATGCTCCTTATTAGGAGATGCTGTGGGTAGGGGAGACCGAGGAACTTGACTGCCTAGCAGATAGGTTAGTGGGGTCTTTGACAGGTTCGCTCTCGTACTCACTGTCTTCCTCATTGAGGATGTTGGTCATCTTTTCTGTATTTCTGCCGGTTACCTCGGCCAGGTCCTGCATTTGCTCGATAGCGATGGTCCATCGCGCGATGTCGGATCCTCCACCATCGGCACCCAAAGCCAATAGGCAGCAGAGTATGCTCTTTCTCACGATGTATAACCGTCCGAATAGGGTGCGAAGAGCGCGTAAGGAGTATTGATCTTCAACCGCCCGCTCGGCGAGTGCTGATTCAGCCTCCGCCAATTCTTCCTCCGAGACATCGTAAATGTCATAATATTTGGCCAGGTTGTCATTATCCGTGACGGGTTGCAAAGAGCGTTGTGCCTGTATATACCGTTTCAACATGGCGTAGAAGCATTCCGACACAGTCCGACGCAGCCTCAAGCATCGCCGCGTTTGCGCTTGATCCTCAAGTCTAGATATGGGAGGCAGTGGCGTGCTTCTATGATTGAGTTAGATACCGAAATTCGCCGGTTAATTGCAGGTGAATGAGGAAGGCTGGCTTACATGCGGTAGCCTCTGGAGACTAGCTCAACCTCCTGTATGAACACGACCGATGCCGAAGCAGCAGAATCAAACCCTTGAGCGTTGCCGATGAAAAATGCCGCCGCATCCACAGATTGGTGTCGCAGATACTTGAGCCATTGTCGTTTAGCGAATGCGTAAAACAGAACCCCGATTACGGGTACTAAGACTAATAGTACGCCAACTTTTCGGGGGTTCAGGCCTGAGCCCGTTCGAGGACGACTCCAGTGCAACAACCAAGCGATAGAGAAGGATGTCGAAGCTGTGACAACGGCGCCCTGTAGTCCAAAAGTTGAGGAAATTGACGGAAGATCTGCCGAGCGTGAACTAGACAGCACATCTGCAGCCGAAGTATAGGAAGGGGCGCTATGCTCGTTCAGCAACTGCGACGCGACGATGACATAACCGAATTGTTCCAGAAACCTCTCATTATCGCTTCGTCCAACGCGCGAATTCAACGCCGACTGTAGACTTCATCAGCCTAAAGGCAATCATGGATAATACAACAGCGTAATTGGAACCCATACCGTACAGGCGTCGTAGAGTTTGCCTAGAGCCGCTCTTTGGTGCGATGACTTAAGGTCCAGTGGTTTAGGGAGCTTATTCCGAATCCGTTCTTGGAATTTTGACGCTCCTCGTGGAGCAAAATCCGCCGCTGTCGACTCGGAGGCAATATCGCTATTCTCTGCCTCCTTAACGGGCCAGCTTGGGTCGTGCTCACCCTCCCCTGGTGCGCATTAGACCTCTGTGACGCGAAAAACCAGAGGTATATAAAAACTTATGAAGGCGAGAAAAGGACTCACCTTGGAGATAATCCGCCAAAGGCGAGTTTTCATAAACAAGAGATTCCATGATCGGTGGGCATGCCGTAAGCCTGGCCGATAGGGAGGGGGCGGGTATGTGGGCTGTTCGGTGCTCGGTCTGGTCGGCGGCGGCGATGGCTTCGTTTTATTAAAAGTATTATAAGGAGCGTAAGAAGGGAAACGGTAAGGAACGTAATGGGAGTCGGACTATGGAAGGATCATCTCCGAGGAAGAGTCCAACAGCGCGATGTGGCGGTGGTGGTGGTGTGAGAAAGGCAACAATCAATGGCGGAACAACCGGGGGTTCAGATGTGCTTCGGAGGGTAAAGAGCGCCGATAAACAAAGGGAAATTCAACGTTCGCAGCGGGCGTGGGTTCGAGTTCAAGCCAGGTTCTTTACCCCTGGCAGATAGTGTAAAAATAGTGCAGGCACAGTGAGCCACGTTGAAGATCCGGTCCATGTGTGTCTGGGGAAGGGGAGGTTTTGGATGCGTCGATTGTCGAATCGGAGACCGGATCACCGTTCGGAACAGGTTTAAAGCCAGTGTTCACGGGTCCACTGGACTAAGCCACTCTGGGCCGTTTATGGTTTTGACCCCCTTCTCAACGGGGCTCTTCGGTCAAATCCTTTTAAGTAAATTGTTTTGCCTACACCACGAGGCTGTGTTTTCTTATATCATGATGTTTCTGAGTCAGATCTGTAATTATCCCAATTGAAATCTTTCTCACTACACCATCAAATCTCACCATGCCTCATGAAACAGCTTTTTCTTGCAAAATAAGACCGAGTAACCGCCGTCGTATCTTGTGAAGGCCGACGGATGACGGCGGGGTTGGCCGAGGCCCATGCATCATACTACCTAACTACTACGACACCACTAGGCAGAGAACTGTCGTTTCATGTTGACTATAAACTAGGTTCTCTGTACCTTTTTATTTGTTGTCGTGACGGGTTTAATTATACTCTTCTGCTTGTTGTCTTAAAAATTAGCAATTTAATACAGACATTGCAATGTCGAGGCATACCCTGACTGGCTTTCCACGGAACAAACACCTTTCATGACCGAGTAATCCAGTTTTAAGTATCCCTGCATTCAAAATGAAAAAGATGATGATCAGACCACATGTTAAAAATTAAACAGGAAGCCTTTTCCACCGGATTTTTTGAGGAGTTTAACCTGATGGATACCTTGAATCTCGGTCCCAACCTAATTTACCGATAGAGTCACGGGCCAAATGACATAAGAGCCCGCTAGGCTAGATGAAGCAATATATGCAAACCACTCAATATCCCCTCAGAGTGGAGAACTATCGCTGTGAACAAACTCTTCGTAATCGTATCCCAACTGCAGTGATGGCGATTCCAACTGAAAGGTACCTTGTCTTAGGATCTTGTCAAGGCAAACTAAGACTCTGTTTAAGCTATAGGAGCAACCTTTGCATCTCAGACCCAAACCTTATGTGATTGTCAGCCACAGTTAGATTGTCCAATGAAGATCGGCATATTTCAACTCTATACATTTATCATGTACTTCATTCGAGGATCAGATTCGGGAGTTCACCGAAATGCCGTGTTCTGATCCAGAAAACGAGTCTGACCAAGTTTTAGCGATGTTTAAAGCGCTGCTCCCTAACCGACTCGTCATAGCCATATTGGCCGCCAACCTATCCTCTTCGCTGGAATTGTAACTCCCTCATAGTTATATGCAGCTTGACGTGGACGTGCATGAAAATGGCTGGACAACAAAGACACAGCTCCGTTTATAAGCTGGCCAGAAAATTCTGTGCTTTGCAGCGATTTTCAAAGATAGTGGAAATTATCCCTTCCTACATCCTGAGAGGTTTTTTTAATATTTCTTTTTCTTTTTCTGCTCTTTTCGATAAGAGTGAGGAATAGGATATGGAACTGATCATCGGTCTCTGCCTGTTAGCGCCGCTTTTATTCCTCTATACCCCTCTCAGGCGCTTCATCGGTTTAAATGCATCTGAATATCCACTTCCTCCAGGCCCAACATTACTTTCCGGGCCGTTTCCGGAGAAAGATATCGCCAAAACATTTCAGAAATGGAATAAAAAGTATGGCCCCATAGTGAGCGCAAAGATTGGAGCCCAGCAATTTATCATCCTGGGGAGTCGTCGAGCAGCCCAAGACCTACTGGAGCGACGAGCAAGTATATACAGCTCGCGTCCCGCGTCAAAGTTCTTGGATAAGTACTTGCACAAGGGACTGGCATCTGCTTTCATGCCATATGGTGCCCAGTGGAGACTTCATAGACGGCTGGGCTCGTCACTCCTCAGTGAAAGGGCGTCTACTGCCTATCGTCAACTCCAGGATTTCGAGAGCAAGCGACTTCTTCATGAGTTCTTATCCACGAATGATTTTTCAGAGGCCTTCCTCAGCTACACCTCGGACATCATGTTCACGCTTGTATACGGAAAAGGGAGAGGAAAGGATGATAGCGACCATAAGATGTTATATCAAATAAATGAAATGGCCACATTCGTTCTTCAGAAAGCTTCTTTTGGAACGATTTTGCTTGACCTGTTCCCCATGCTTGACTGGCTCCCACATTGCTTCTTGACCTGGAGAAAGAAGGCAGAAGAGCTTCATTATAAGACCAAAGAAGTTTATACCGAATGTGGCAACATTGCGCTTGGGGGCGACTGCTGGAACTGGAGTCATGAGGTCTCTCAGAGAAGCGAAGCTAAAGAGCTCCCCTGGGAAGATGTCTGCTACGCCCTGGGCGAACTTTACGTAGCCGGAATCCATACGACTAAGATGGTCTTGGAGATATTGATTATAGTATGTGTACTCCACAAAGAGGTGAAACAAAAAGCACAAGCAGAGCTAGACTCCGTGGTCGGCGAGGACCGATTGCCGTCGCCCGACGACCTTGAAAACCTTCCATACATCCGGGCAATCGTCTCTGAACTCCTTCGCTGGCGCCCTATCTCTCCAATTGGGGTTCCTCACGCGGTCATACAAGACGACGAGTACATGGGCTACCGTATCCCTGCCGGTGCGACGGTAGTCGCAAATCAGTTTGGGATGAACATGGACGAGGCGACTTTCGACAATCCCGCAACCTTCAATCCTGATAGATATCTCAACAACCCAGATCTTCCTGTCTCCGCTTTTGGCTTTGGCCGGAGAATTTGTCCTGGTCACCGACTCGCACGGGGCAGCCTACTGATCGTTACTTCACGTCTGCTCTGGGCTTACGATATCACATCTGCACAAGGGGACGCTGATATTAGCGACGAAAGCAGCCCCTCTTCCGTCAAAGCCTTGTTTCAACCAAGGAGCTCAAAGCACGAGCGGGTAATCAAGAAAGAGTGGGAGGATACCGACAAAGACGAAAAGCGAATCTTGGAGAGGATCCGACACCGTATCTGATGCATGGAAATCTATCTACACACAGAAGAATGGCCTTAGATCTTCCCAGTATCTCATTCCAAAGTCCAGCTATGAAAGTGGAGCTGGAAAACAACCTGAGTCATTGATGCGATCTGGATTAAGATCTCAGGAGTGAAGCGCTCGAGATATACCAATATCGCATTTATAGCCCTTAAACTATATACGAACTTGAATGTGCTATTTCGTCTTTCGAAAGAGAGAAGTGAATAATATATGCTTGCATAATCTCACGACTTTCAAAACCTCTTAGTTTATTGTTGAAGGGCCTTCCATTATTTTGTAGACAAAGCACAACAGTCGAGGCACATCATAGGCAGAAACATACTCAACTAGCTTTTCCTTTACGAAGCAACTCTAGTGATTCTATTACTAAATAATATCTGCTCAGACAAAACGATGGCAGTAGCTGCCGCAAGCTGAGACATACATACTGCATCTGTATAATGCCTCAGGCACCATCGTGTTGCGCCAGCAACCAACCCATCAACATCGCGTCCCCATCTCCATACCTCGCAATCCACGGTTCCAACATCTGTAAACCAATGAAGATTCAGCTATCTTTGCCTTATCATCTGAAGGTACAATTTTAGTTACCAACATAGCAGATCAACAAAACTGTACCTTCTACGCGACGATCTTCCGAGTACTACCGGTTGTTCACCCCCGCGTTGCCCCTTACTTTAACTACGTACCCCTCGACACGATATCACAGGCTTTGTTTCAGTCCAAAAACTTTCTATTAGAGACATGTTATTATAAGGGCTTATGCCTTCTATTGCACCATACTCACTTCAGATCGATTAGACATTGTTCGACGGTATCATGTCAGGTCTATTAGGAGAAGTTGGCACCCCGTGCCCATCAAGATCCTCTCGATTTGACCAGAGCAGCGGAGATAGCTCGTTTAGCAAGCCCTGGGAGGATAGCTTGGAAAACTGTGACGAGACGGCCAACATCGAATTCACCACCGAGATCAAAGCACCGCTTCTAACGGCAGTCAAGCCCCGTCGAAGGACGAAGACCGGCAGCTCTTTCGCTATCCACGATGATGGTGAACACAATCCCGTGCCAACAGCCAACCCGAAGAGGAGGGAAACCCGTCCAGCAGTCGCCCCTTCAGGTCGAAAGATGTCTTTACTAGCCCAACCGGCCCAAAGGTTCCGTCCGAAGGTTAGCTTCACGGCTAGTCCACCCAGGACTTCAAAGCCATTAGGAGAGCCCGAGAAGAAATTGCGGAGTACAAAGCTAGACGCCCAAAAGAATAGGGAGCTTCTGATGCAGATTAATGGGAACGGACGTCAAACTCCATCGAAGAATGCTTTGAAGACTGATGTACGCCGTAACACGGCGTATATTCCGCCGGATGACTCCACTGTTGCGAGCGTGTTCATGGGTATCATCAGCCCTACCAAGTCTAACAGTATGCAGGACTACGTTCAGGAGGACACGCAGGTTAACACCTTAGAGTCACAGGTCGCTAGGAAGCGGCAGGCAAAACGCTCTTTGGCATCATCCGCGCAGCGAATTCCGCTTCAACCAAGCATGAAAGTTAAGCAGGAATCTTATATTCACGTCGATATTGCTGGGAAGAACGGTGGAAAGGAAAATGTTCCTCCTGGAGCTTGCCTTCTCAGCAAGGGAAAGGGCAAGGATACTCAACCTATGAAGATCAATGACGAGTTTAAAAACCCTCGAGCAGCTTCAAAACCTGCACAAGCTCAACTGCGTGGATGTCCTACCACAAAGCCGATGAGTCCACTCACAGCAAGGTCTGTTAATAGGACTGTGAAGCGAACAGTGATGAGAGAAAATAGAAACAACGCCAAAGCAGCATCCGTTCATGTGGTACAAGAAAGCAACAAGTTAGAAAAGCGAAAAACAAACGACAATCGAGCTCCGTCAGTTTCTAAGAATTCCACACTTTCCAACATGTTGAAGAGCTCTGAGATGCGCGTCAACCTCTCCAAGGCCTCGGTAGTGCGCCCTAAACCGAAACACATTGACAATGAGTATCCGCTGCTGAAAGAGGACATCACAAAGCCGGAATTGTATGAAGATGACTGGCTTTCCCATCAGGAGATCATGATAACTCAACTGGCCAATGGGCTTTTTGATCAGACCAACGAGAGTTTAAGCCTCAAAGATCCAACAGTACTTCGACATGAACTACTCAAGCTCTACCAAAACACACCATTTGCACATCTTTATAAGAGGGTCCAAGCATCATTGCTGTACGGTGTCATGAGTATCCCGAGAGATGTGCTTGGACGAAATGACCGGCTGCAGCAGGATGTGGGAATGAAGCGGAAATTTTTGGACTTCTGGATGCAAACGTATGACCCACGGGCGCTACGAGCGGCAGTGGAAACAGTCACAGGCAGGAGGATGACCGATAACGGATTGGCTCAGGAGAGCAGTCATAGCCATCCTAACATGGACTTTGGCAATGATAAAGCACTGAAGAGAGGACTAGAAAACTTTTTAAATACCTTTTTGCTGCAAAACCAAGACATGGAACGACATGCTAGAGAATTCAGCGGCGGGGATTCAGACGAGGTTGGCACGGCCTATCATCGCACTGTTCTTCGCAGCATCATGATCGTCATCCTCTTGGACAAGGGAATGTCAAGCCCAGGGAATGTACTTCCACGTTGCCTTTTCCTTCGTTCATCCCAGTTCAAGTCCTCTGCCGCCGTGCTCCAGGCCTTGACTCGTTTTCTTCTACCCTCTTCCGGGGACATCATTAAGACGCTTGGTCATTTAGATTGCCAGTTGGTCTATGAGCAAAGCGCGCTGCAGGAGTACGACTACCGGATAAGCAACTTAGCTGTAGATATGAGAGACGGTGTCCGGCTAACTAGGATTGTGGAGTTACTATTATATCCGACCGACTTATGCCTCGCAGATGGGGAGCGTTTGGGCCCGGTTTCACAAGGGCTGAAGCTTCCATGTCTTAGTCGCGCAGTAAAGCTGTTCAATGTGCGAATTGCTCTGAATGCATTGGCTTGCAGCAAGAGCTCCCACAAGCTGGTTCGTCGTATCTGTGCGGAGGACATAGTCGATGGACATCGTGAGAAGACCATCGCACTTCTATGGGGGCTTGTTAGCCAATGGAGCCTCGCTGGGCTTGTCGATTGGGATGACTTGAGAAAGGAGATCGACCGCTTAAAGCAGAAGGCCGTGTCTCAGTATGGGTATGAGTCGGTCAAGGGTGAGGGATGGTTCGATAGAGATTTCGATGGATTGTATGAGCAGAGTAACGAGGCTACATCGTTGCTTCGACAATGGGCCTCTATCCTAGGATATCTGAAGGGCCTACAACTTGAGAACTTCAGCACCAGCTTCGCGGACGGCAAGATTTACGAAAGCATTGTGGATGAGTACGAGAACTACATACTCAAAGGGAGTCAGCCCCAGTCTACGGAACTCAGGGAGCCACTCTTCTCGCTGCAATCTCGCCTCAGGGCGCTAGGATGCAGTGCACAGCTCGGTAAGTCGTCTAGGGAATACCCATCATGGAGCCCAACTAACAACTACTAGCGTATCTCATTTCCCCTAGTTCTTCAAGGTCGCACATCCTAAACAGTGACTTCACACTGGGGGCACTCGCCTTCCTCTGTTCTCGATTCCTTTCCGCAACTAAGCGTGCTCGCGCGGTGGCAGTTTTGCAAAAGAGATGGCGACAAGTCCTCGCCCACCGGGATCTCCAACGGCGGACAGTCGCCCGAGACGTCGCTAGACAATGCGCAGCCGTCGTGCAGACAAGAGACCGAATCCTCTGGGCCAAAGAGATCATCATCCGGTGGTGGAGAATGGTGAAAGCGAAGCAGCAGCGGCACAACATAAGCGGCAGATACGAGAAGCTAATCCCTATGTCCAAGGGGGTCCCTCTACGTGGCCAGCGGTCCGCGTACTGAACCCGGACGTTTCATATACCCGCGGTTGCATATTGGGCATTGGCAAGGCAATGACCCTTGTATGAAATATAGGGTACGATGTCAGGGGATGAGCCTTACAATCACTCAACATTGCCTTAGTTTGGCTGTACTATTTTCAGCGCCTCCAGGATCATAGCCTTTGTCCAGCGTTATGTCATTAATAGGACAATACTATTATAGTAATGCATAATGAGAATAGAAACCACGACAAACCCAACACCTGATATGTAAGGTATAGCTTTAGACGGAACAAGGCACCAATCCAACAACAACGACGAAAAAAAAAAAAAAAAAGAGAGAGAGAGACAAAAAAAGAAAAGAGAAACAAAAACAAAATCCCTCAGTGAACTTCCAACTTTGACGTCAAGAACAAGCAAACAAACAAACCCACTCACAACCCAACCACCTAATGACATGATCTCTTGAAACAAAAACCCAACCAAACCAACAAAAACAATCCAAATGAAATGGAAAATCCCCTCCTCCTCCTCCTCCTCATCCAAACAAACCACCATCGGAAATAGCTACCAGACTTTGATAATCCTCGCCACTGAACCCCGAACTACCGGGAAACTACTTTTAGTGACTTGCTGACGACTATGACATCATTCCTCTATTCATCTGACCAACACCTCATTTATATTTCTGCCTATCATCGTCCTTTCCCTTAACAGTGGACTAGGAGTTTTTCGGGTGGACGGACGTAGTAAGTAAATTCTATTCCTTTCTAGCGTTTGGAGTCGGGTATAGTTTGCATTAGTATATGCTTACTTTACTGTTGGTTTGGTGTTGGTGGAGGGGGGACTATGATGTTTATGTTATATGTTATAGTTTTCTGGTGGTAGATTATGCAATGCGATAGATGATTCTTGTATTATTATTTATAATTTAATAGATGGAGGGACTAACTTTATAGTTTGCAAATAGGATATATTTATTCATATTACTAACGTATTGTGGTGGCCTGGAAGATGAAGACTATGATGTTTATGTTTATGATTTTATACTCCTCTATACTGATAAAACTAGACAATACATAGTTAACAGTAAGTGTAATACACAACCTACTTAACCATACGGAGTAGGGTAAATATATGAAGGCCTAGATCAAATTACATAAAAGTGATGATTCTTGGAGTCTTCCAAGCCACAAGTTACTAATGGGATTGTTTTGTTTTTTGTAGATTCTGTGGTTCGTTACTTAATAGATGTGGTAAGCCAAGTTGGTGGTTATGCTGAAGTTATTGGCGGGAAAAGATGTTTCGTTTCGAGAAGGTCGCTTTTTGGGAAGTTTTGGATATTATCTTTTTTTTTTTCTCTTCTCATCTTTCTTCTTGAGATTTTTTTTTTTTTATTGCGGGTTTTATTGTTGTTTGAGGTTGTTTGGTTGGTGTTGAGTCCTAAAAGTATCTTTTGGATGTCGGTTTCATATGTTGGTGTGGATTTATTGAAAGGTGGATGTGATATGTACATCTGTATGTATGTATATCATATTCTGTCTGTTTATAAGATTAAGACATCGGATTTGCTAATGCACTCTTATCTGAGTGCAGATTTTAGATAAACAGATTACTATTTTCAATAATATTTGTATTGCGATTTGTAAATGTTAATAGTCCAGACGGAAGAAGAGACTCATGCCTGAGTCATGCTGCCGGTCGGAGGCCGTCATCTAATCAGAGCATGCGTCGAGTCTAGAATTTGAGTCATTAGGGGTTTCTACAATACGGAGTATGAGTCTGGATCTCCAGTAGGCAGCACTATTGAAGTTTGACCCGGCAGCAGTTCGTCCGTCTCCTTAACGAGTCCGCGTGCCGAGCCGTCGACGTCGGTAGTGATGATTTACCATTTTAATCACAACCGGCTATTGCATAGGATCGACGAGATCTGCTTCCACTGCCTCAAGAGGACGGGGGCCCTCCGCGGGGTCCGAGAAGATTGTTCGAAAGGGCCCGCGCGACATCTTGGGAATGTGGAAGTTCTTGGCCGCACTTGGCAGCGTAACTCAAGAAGAGGACCGTCTCGCTACGGAGTACAGTCACACTGGACGCGCAAGGAGAGAAGAATGTAAGAAGACGAAAAAGTCAGACGGTTCTTGGCGGGTTCTCCGTGAGACGGAGGGGAGGCGCAGCCATCGCAACGTTGCCAAGCGCTGCTGTGGAATGGTCCATGACCAGCCAGCCAGAAGGGCAGGAGTAAGGGGTCGCTGGAGGAGAGGGAAATTGGGAATGTTTTTCTCTCTCTCTCTCTTAATGCATGGGGACATACTGGTTATATCTTGGCGGCTCTTGGCAGAGGTCTTGGCTGCCCATAGAGTTCCAGGGGGTGGTGTGGGAATATAGAAAAGTAGAAGTGCTGAAATGCCGTAAAGTTGGGGGAGAGCGTCGATCATCAGATCAAGTGATGTGATGTGCCACTCCATTATCTGCCATCTATTCGTTCCTCTCTCCTCTCCCCTTTCCCTCTGGGTGGATAGAGTGAATGACAGGTACATACTCCGTACATCCTGTACATTCAGGTGGCATTCGGGCCGAGTGAAAGGGGGTGAGTTTATTGTTTTCTGGAAAACTCTTGTTAGCCAATAAGCTGTTAAGTAAGGGTCATTCCATATGTGGTTTGGTTACACAATTTTTGATCTTCAGTAATCTCTTTCTTTTATTTTTATTTTATTTTATTTTTGTTTTGGTTCTTTTCATTCCCTCCTCCTCCTCCTCCTCCCCCCCCCCTGTGTGGTTTGGGTTAAATTACCACGCACTGGGAAATAGTACTGTACCTACCACCGGTATGTTGTATTGGCATTACCGGGTCCTGTTTGATCAAGAAAACCATCGTGGGTCCAGTGAGACAATGGGAAAAGGCCCTCAATGAATTGTTTGCATAACAATGATTACTGTGTAATAGGAATTTTAATGATCCCGCTCAAAAGGACGATCGAAGGGAAGAGTCAAAAGCACCATGCAGATGTCATGGTCTAAAGAAAGGAAAGGTCGAATTGCCTCGTCCTTGGTTCGCACACTAGTGGTAGTGTTTTTTGCGCTGGAGGGGAGACTTGACACTCGTTGATTCGACAATGGATGGGGGTGTTGCTGGGGGATTGGAGGAAGCTGACCATGCATGAGGGGAAGTGTACTCCGTATAGTAGTAATTCATACTAGTACTACTGTAATAGCAGACATAGCCTGGAGATAAGCAGTGGTCAGCTTGGAGAACCTGAGGAAGCAGTACACTCGGATGGGGTTTGTCCGACGTTGACTGCCTCAGGCTTACCCATATTGGGTCAGTCTTGCATTGTGATTAAATGGCCTGAAAGGGCCGGCGTGAAGCCAAAGAGTCCCGTGCACGTCCGTTCCCCCACCAGCATCAACGAGTCCCATAAATGCCTCATACAAATGCCTCCCAGTACCAAGTCTCTGCCGCTGTCGGCCACCATCGGCCCATGGTTGATAAGCTGTTTGGCATTTATGCAGTCCTTATCCAATCCTAAGTTTATAGCTCCATCCCGTTATACAGCAAGCGTGTCCATTTCCCACCAAACATCTATCTCCTGATCCTTGACTTTAACCGAAATTCCTACGAGCTAAAGTAACCCACCGTACAACTGGCAATTCACGGCCTCCACCTAGTCGCCTCTCGGTGGGTAGCTCCCATTCCCATCACAGCAGAGGGCTGGGGAGGCAAGAAACCAAGGCGCCGGGAGATGTGAAATCATCCCGTGTGGACAGCGCTCTGTATGGAGTCCTGCCACATAGGTTGGGATAGTGTAGGACCTACCCCTTTAGGCCGACCGGTGACTGATTGCTGCGATGACCACAACGCATCGACCAGTTGAACGCTCGACTGGGTCTACCCACGAGTTCAATGCCACATGCGATCTCACTCCGCAGCGATCTGGTTAAACTTTGGTCGGATTTTTAACCGCAAGAAGTCAGATGCCTCCTCCCGGTCCTATGCATTGCGTGTATCAGACCGGGACATGGATCTCCAAAATTTGAGTGCGGAGAGAGAGAGAGAGGGAGGGAGGGAGTCGTAATCAATCTTCGTCCAATGTCGATGCGTTGTGTTGGAGAAAGACCACCACTTTCCTTGTCCCATTCAGCCCTGAGACGGCATGCTAAAGCGTTACCTAACTGAAATGGGACATCCGAGTAGCTCGTATTTCCTCTTTTTTTTTTTTTTTTTTTTT